AAATTCTGGAGATTAAAAAATGGTGGAAAATTTTCCGAGCGGAAAATTTGAATATATATGGTATATATATATATTTCTTCCGCATGACGTGCAGTTGAAGTTCCAAATGGACTATTTACCAGCTGCCGGTATATAAAGATGATGTGGCTGCTGTGGCTGGTGTGGCTTACCAAAAATTCGTGTCAGCTGCATGTTCAAATTTGTTCAATGAATATATTTGATATAAATATGGAATACTGAGAGAGTATTATTGCAATAATCAGTATTTATTTTTAGAGAGCTCATCGTATTTTGAGTACCGACTTCTCTCAAGGTAAGAGTGCAATGAGTAAAACTCTGACATTACTTGGGTCGGTATGAAATCCGAGGAATTCTAAATGCGAATGGAAATATCACTTGCAAACGATAGGAAGCGCTGGGACGTGCATTCAAATTTGACGAATTCGCAATTTTGAGGGAAATTTTTTTTGGATTTGATTCGCTTTGAAGTAAAAAAAGTCGCAATGCAATTGGATAAAATGGAAATTAAATTTTAAGGTGTAATTAATCGTGAAGTTTTTATAATTTTCCTAGAAATCTTGTCTGTCATTTCTGGAAATGGTTCAAACGTTCGGCCATTTTTTCGGTCTTGTCTCCACGAAGTGCCTCCGATTTTTTTTTATTTTAAATCGTCATGGCGATTTCCAAGAGAAAAATTGCACGTCTGGAAGGAAAGAGAATAAATTTCCCGAGGGACAATACATTTTTTTTGTTTTAAATTTTAATTATCATTGTTTAAAATAATAGCAGGGCAAGATCAAAATCGTAAATAAATTCTACTCAGGAATAAGGAATTCACCAGAAGAAAATGTATGAAAAAAATGATTTTCTTAGGACTTCGATTATATTATCTCTCATACAATTTCTTCGGTGTAATAATTCTATAAACTTTTCCATCAAGGAATGTATCGATATTTTTCAAGCAAGACTTCCACGAAAAATCTGCGCAAGCAATTCCGTTATCTCGATTCATGAAATATTTCCCCAATGATTTTTCCGGGGAATTGATTTGAAGTAGTTGAACTATCGATTATCTATCGAGCGTAAAAACGTAAGTGGAATGGACTCTTAAAAAAAATCATTTGCGTTTCGATTCAGATAATTAAATCGAAATTAGCGAAGGTCGGGGATGACAAGTAATCACCGGCCGGAAGCCAGTCGAGTAGATTATCGTTGAACAACTCGATTATTGTTATGAAAGTCTCCGTCAAGTGCCAGAAAGATAATTATATTATTTTTTTTCTACTCAAGATATGATTCGTCCATATAACTGGGTAGCGCAATTAGTCGGACGACCAGTAGTTGATTGCACGTGACGAAGACGTAACAATGGGTTTCGGTGAGATATTATTTTACCTGCATTAATACTTCATAATTTAACAATCGATTAATCGTAATAAACATCATTCGATGAATTATTAAAATTACAGATTGAAATCTGACAGAATTGAATAATGAGGAAAAATTTTAAATTGAATTTTACTGAATCATTTCATTCAATCAATCCACACAATCGATCAATCGATCGCAGACTGTTCCTGTTGATACCCTTCAAACCCAATTTTTATTTTCAAATTGCAGTCGACGTTATTATTCTCCTGCTAATTGGCAGTGCATTAGCCTGCGAGGTTCCAAAAAATCCTGCCCCTCCATCTCGTATCAGACAGGTATCAAAAAACGCAGTGATTGATATCGAAGGAAGAACCGGTGGTGCGGTAATTCTGAATGCCACAAAAAATGGTAAACCGAACTCTAATCTCTAAAAATCACCCAATAATTCAGGGATTCATGAATAAAAAAAAAGTAATCACGATCTTTAGACGGATCTCAAATGAGAATTGAGCTGCAATTCTCCGGTTCGTCGCGGACATCTCCCCCAAGGGTGACAAGCTGTGGTCAATTCTCCACGTGTATCGCGAATGAAAATGGAATCCACACGAATATCGAAGTGGTTCCTACCCGGGAATTCGTGGTGGTGACACGAACATCGTCGGCACCATCTAGTCGATTCACCGATTGCTTCTCATTGCGAGATGATACGCAGTGGGTGGGTGGTCCCCAGCACCGGTACCAGCACTGGCCAATCCAGCACATGTACTTCGAGGAAGAGCCTTATGTTCCATCACACCCCACCAACATGGCCATCACCGAGAGGTATTGGCTGTCCAGCAGAGGCTTCTACATCCACGTCTCTCCGAACGTCCACCTCTTCCTCGACCAGAACAACATCAAGGACAAGTACTTGTGCTTGGTTGTCAAGAACAAGGCGCCATACTCCCCAGAGACCAACACAACAACTTCCTACGAGTTCGGATTCTTCAGCAACTCACGTCAGGCTCACGAGTCGGTCATCAATCGTCATTTTGGAAAACCATCTGGACAGCCCGATGCCCGCATGATTCAACACCCCATCTACTCGACGTGGGCGAGATACAAGGCCAATATTACGGAGAAGATCATCAATGACTTTGCGGATTCAATTATCGCCAATAAATTTAACAACAGTCAACTGGAGATTGACGACAATTGGGAGACTTGCTATGGATCTGCTACATTTGATACCAAGAAATTCCCCAATATCACTCGACTCACTAGTACTCTCAGGACGAAGGGATTCAGAAATACTCTCTGGATTCATCCTTTCATCAACATCGGGTGTGAGCCTGCGTATTCATACGCTAAGAACAACAGCTATTTCGTGAAAAATAGAGACGGAAGTACCTTCACTACTTGGTGGCAAGGTAAGAAAATAATTCCAGGGATTCCAGGACTCAATTAAAATATTAAAAAATATTCTCTTCAGGCAATAACGGAGCCGGAGTGATAGATTTTACAAATCCAAAAGCTGTCACCTGGTGGGTGGGTAGATTAAAAGCCCTGGAAAAATTGGGAATTGGTTCCTTCAAGTTCGATGCTGGTGAGCCGTCCTGGCTCCCACAGGTGTCAGTGCTGACAGGTGCAGCTGGATTGAAACCAGGAATTTTCACGAAGGACTACGTCAATGCTCTTGCTAATAATTTTAACAGCATGATCGAGGCTCGTGTCGGCTGGGACTCCCAGGACCTCCCGATCTTCATCAGGATGATCGACAAGGACTCAACATTCACTTGGAATAATGGACTACCAACGCTTATCACAACTCTCCTGCAGATGAATTTGGCGGGATATGTTTGGGTTCTTCCAGATATGATCGGTGGGAATGGGTATTTGGATGGCTCGTTGAATGGCACCGTCCTGCCTACGAAGGAGCTCTTCATCAGGTGGCTACAGTGCAATGTCTTCATGCCCTCTCTGCAGTACTCATTCGTCCCTTGGGATTACGATAATGAGGTGGAGATATTTATCAGGACATAATTTGTAATCGAAATAAATAATTTTGGGTTTTGATTTTAGACCATCGCCATCAGCAGGAAATTTACTGATCTTCATGCCGAGATAACACCGACTATTCTTCGACTTATGAATCAGACAGTGAGAACTGGTGCCCCACTGAATCCTCCGATCTGGTGGATCGATCCCGCTGATCAGGAGGCTCACAAAGTCAATGATGGTACCAATAATTTATATAATAATAATAATCTCGAAACACAATTCATGACGTATTTTTAACAATTTGTAGAGTTCCTTCTGGGAGAGGAGATCCTTGTGGCTCCAGTGATTGAGGAGAACGTAAACACTCGCGATATTTATCTCCCCAGAGGAACCTGGAAGGATGCAAATACCAACTCCAATTATGTGGGACCAATCTGGATACGAAATTATCCAGCACCCCTGAATGTCCTCCCGTGGTTCAGAAAAATTGCATAATTTTCTAACGATTTTATGGGATAACCAATGTTTTATAGATACCAGAGAAAATATTATCAATTGAAAAATCATAAAAATATTGCAATAAATATCTCAGCTTATCTCTCAGATAAGCGTACAGATAAGCAGTGGCAAATAATCGCTCGAGGATTTCAAGACTAGATAAAATATTTCCCTCTAATCAACACTTGGTGCTCCTGGTTTCATTCCAGTGTGATTGAATTGACTTCTGGAATTTTCCATTTTCGTGAAACTCGGAATATTTTTAATCGGTTCAGCAATGAATATCTCAATTACTCTCTTTATGCAAAATAAATATATTGTTTCAACTAGATATAAACAGTGATCGTATTTCCGAATTGAGTCTAATTATTATGGCATCGTGAACGCTGTAACTTCCAGTCTTCAACAAAGTGTCACGCTCTTCAATGAGCTTTTCCAGTCTATCGTCTTGATCATTTGATTTTCGAGAGTCCTCTGGTCTGCGATAATCTGCGTTGGATCGACACGTTGACTCGTAGACACTATTGAATTCATCAGGATTTATTGTGTGAGAGGTTTTCGGTTTTATTACGTTGATTTCTCGTTGGATCTGATCAAGCAGGAGTTTATCGTTGGAGAGAGCTGCTGAATCTGCTTGAAGTAAATGCTCTAAACTGAAATAAAAATCATTAATCAATAGCAATCAATTAATCAACTCATATAGAATTAATTGATTACATACTCAATAGTCTTCAATTCTTCCCTGCTGGATTTAATCTGCACCTCTAATTCCTGTTGCCGCTCAATCTTCAACTTGTGGATTTCCCTCACAGCTTTCCCCCATTGTTCCTTAAAAAACATCTTGCTCTTGATCGCACTATTCAATTTACTCTCAAGACCCCTGATCTGCTGCATCAAATTCTCCGTTTGATCCGACGCCACTGAGCTCTTCTGTAACTTTATCAAATCCTCATTCTGCTTGGAAATAATTTTGTGGAGTCGACAGTTCTCACGTTTCAGCTCCGATATCTGATCCTCAAAGTTTTTCTTCTCCTCTTCCAACCGCGACAACTTTAAAGTGCAATCCTCACGCATTCTCTCGGACGCGTCATTCAAATCTCTGACTTTTCTGTCATACGCCCATTTCAATTCCTCATTCGTCTTTATCAGTTGTTCCTCCTTCTCAATACTCTGGACTCTCCTCGTTCTCAGATCGTCAGTGGCTTTGTTTAAATTATTAGCCAGAATTTTACACTGCTCTACACTGCAGGCTAATTGAGATTCTAATGATTCTCTCCTTCTCTGCCATTCCTCACTCAACAGATTCAAATGACGTTCTTCCTTTCGTTTCAGCTCCACCTTAAACATCTCCTGCTGCCGCTCTTTCCAGGTCTCCAGTTCATCCACTATTTTCGATGCCAAAGAGTCATCTAGAATCGGCGGTCCCAATTTCTCACTCCAAATGGATTTTGTCGTTCTGTAATAGGGCCCATAATCCCTCAAGTCCATGTGCACTTCTGTGGAACCGATTACATGGCGACTAGAATCAATTAAAACGGCCTCGTACTGACTTCTCCATGCAGGATCATCGAAGATCCGATTGACATCGAGCTCAACCTGACCGAGACAGCCTTTTTCGATTCTCTCCTCATCTCGAATACTTATCCTCAGTGGATTTGCAACCAGCAAGTGCTTAATCTCGTCAACCGACGATATCAAGTGCAATTTACAACCGATATCCTGCAATCTCAACGTCTCACCCACCGTCACTGGTATTTTTGGATAAAGTGTGGACATAATATCTGCCTTTGGATGGTGAAACCTGAATTCAATATTTTTTATCGATTCTGACTGCAGCGTTAGAGTATTCAGTGTAACGTGGAGACAGTAACAGTGATATGCATCAACGCTCTTTCTGTATTTTTTTTCATGCCACGGAGGTATTATTGTATTTTCTAGTGGCTCTTGAGGTATTTCAAAAGTAGAAAAATGATTCATCCTGTCTTTGCAATCGCTCTCATGACCACTGGCTAACCGATTGTGTGCGTCATTGGCATTCGTTGTAACTGAAGGTTTTTCCCTTACCTGAAAATAAAAATTGGGAATCAGCTAAAAATATTGTTTTCTTCTCGAAACGTAATTCTACGGTTGGGATTTAAACATTTTTTTATAAAGTTACCATTTCTGAATTTTTATTTGTTGCAGAGGAATTAATAATGAGGGGCTCAGCATGCACTTCATTTTCCCGATTTCCAATGCACGTCAGACCCAATTGTAAATCGAGATACGGTCTATTCTGCCCCTCGACAATCTCACTTCTACTATCCAAGGTCTTGAGAAAGCACCTCTCGTTCAAAAACACTTCCTTATCCCCACAATTATCCACCCAATGCCCAGTCAAGAGTCGCTTCAAATCCACTTCCGATTCTCCCAAAATACTCTCTCCATACTTGAGAACAACGAAAAAACTGGACTTCTGTTCCACGTAATTTCGCAATACGCAAAACGAACTTCTTATTCTCATAACAATTTTTTCGTCTAGAGGAAAAACAGTGGATTCCATCGTGAATGATTTTGACTGGAGTTCATTATCCAGAACTTTGTACCAAAAGCAGAGATCTTTAATCGAGTCATTGGGAGACGTGGGTTTTGGAGTGAGGAGATGGAGATTGGCGGTGACTCCAGTGGAAATAACCAACAGAAATAAATCTCTGCTGGTTGTTACGGGACCAAGCTGGATTAATCTCTCTTCGGGAATTACGTAGGGTATGGGTAGGTCAATCTCCTTATGCAATGTGTCTATTTCCTCGCTCTTCCTCTAAACCACAATGACAATCGAGTCATCAGAAAGGAGACAATATCAATATATTAATAGCGAGGAAGGAAAATTAAAAATATTTTTTTTAACTGCCTCAAAACTCCGATGTCGTGCGAATTCCGAAGAAAAATTTAGAGGATATTCCATTCATTGTTTAAATAATTCTGTAATTAATTTTAGAAATCAATGGTGAATCAATCGTTGAATTTACCTCTGAACACCCGATCTCCATGGTATCCCTGTCTTCAATGGTCAAGGAGAGTAAAAACTCCGGTTTATCGGATTTCACATCATTCCTGAGGCCGAGCAGCCTATGCCAATTCGTCTTGATGTTGCTCTCGTTGCCCCGGGGGACAATTTGTGCTGATCGCAGGCTCAACAGCAAGTACCCAATCTTTTCTTTCACGAAGTTCTGTTTCACCTCGAGGCATTCAACTTTCAGCGGTTCTTGTCCCGATCGCATCCTATTTATTCAATTCAATACCATAAATTGATGACGTTATCGTTCTATTTTTTTTTCTGCTGAATATTTCTTACTTTCTAAGAGTACTTTTCGTTGCCTCCCACACTAGATCAGTTGCGTACACAGGATTTTCCTCTGGATAGATTAAATCCGTTTCCAGAGATAATCCATTCAACGTCGCGATTATGACCGTTGGATTTGCTACTTTATCGAAGCCCTTTCCTGCAATGAATAATCAAATACTCAGTGAGAAATAAAATAGATCGAGTCGAGGGAATTCATTTCAGTAATATCATTCCGTTCCCCGTCGATCGATTAAATTATTTCAACAAGAGATTATAATCTCGTGAAATATTTAATCCTCCAGTGTCAACTCAAACGAAATAACACATGACAGCAGCAGTTTCCCGCCATTTTTTCCCAGAGGTTACATAAACATCGAAACCCAACAAAAAATATTAATAATGACCTTCCTTGAGACTCAGAACCACCTGGACATTGCTCCCTACCAGCTGCTCCATCCTCACTCATGTGCACAATATAAACAAATAAAATATTAAAAAATAAGTGTCGAGTGCATCACGAGATGGTTATTGTAACCGGCTGTCATGGAAACACCGACCTAACTGCACATTGACATTCACTCAGAAACTAAAATAAACAAAATGGAGTTCCAAGCGTTGAGTAGTGCCTGAAATTTTCCCCATGTCTTCAAAATTTCCCGCTAAGTGATAAATAATTATCCGATCAATTAACGTTCGTTAAAAAATGCAAAATCTGAGGAATAATGGAAATACTGGAAATATTGAATAACGCAGAGACCCGTGAGAGTACGCCACCTGGTGAAGGGTCTTCTAGTCAGAATTAAAAAACCTGATTTCCATGAATCCTCAAGATCCAGAAACTTGGTAGGCCTGTCGATTCGCCTGTAACAAAAAAAAAAATTCATCCAATGTACATCGAGATCCGCTCCCAACCGTTTTACCCGTGTCGGCCAAAGTGGCCAAGTTGGTGTAGCCCGTTGGTGAAGCCAAAGTGTTTCTCTTGTGGTCGTGGGCCACGGGGTGGTGCCCAAAAAAAAAAAATAAATACCAGTGAATAAATCCCATAATGTCCTAACACGAACAATCCAAACCCACCAATCGTGTAAATTAATCGTCTAACAGATCCACCAAAAAGTATTTTCAGTGGATTAATGAGGGAGACATAAAAACATCTCTATCTTTTGGCCCCCCCTCTACCATCAGTTGTCGTTCAAGTTGGCTACCGTTTGGTGTCGCAAGGATAACCGAGGGAAGGTGGACGATTGGTTTTTCACTGCCAAACTGGCAATGTGAAAATAATACTATTGTTTTCATCGCTTTATTAATCCCCGGGTTCAATGCACCGTGGAAACGAGTTTTATCCCGTTGATTCCTGCATCGTTGGATAAAACTCCTGGAGGGGTTTCTTTTTTTTTTAATTCACTCTGGAGGTATTGTCGACGTCTGTACGCAGTTGCAGAGAAGAAATAAGTGGTAAAAGTGGTGGAGCAAAAGGAGATACTGTTGTGGGGAGAAGTTGCGTCGAGGGATTGAGGGAAAATAAAAGTGATTTACTGGACCTGGCGATGATCCATAATGGTTGTATGGGGGTACACCCTGGCCGAAGACGGGTCCACAGTCGGGGATACTCTGGACAGTGACTGAGGTTCGTGTTTGCTCCTTCATTGAGCTTCTCAACCGGCCGGGTTGATAATATAAACCGGTTGTATATTTTTTAAACGTTTTGTATGAATTTTTTTTTTCGGTTCAATTCACTCAATTCCTCTCTAGTTTCATTTCCCGTCCACTTTTTTTTATTTTTATTACTCTCCATGTCAATAATTCATTCCTGTTCTCCCTGAGGCAAGTGTTATGAGGGCGAGCGCCCCATTCTGACATACAACCTGAGCTGGTAACCATTGACAATTACCTCGTACATTATTTGTCTCATTGTTGAGGTGGAAAAGTTAAAACAACGAGGAATTGAAGTTGTGGGGGTTGATGGGGTTTACTTTGTCTCTTTTGGGTTGTGCCTTGTGAGTGCTGGAACATGATAGAGTGCTGGTGAAGGATTAATTTAATCTGTGCCTATTACTGAATCGGGAGTGCCGTTTTACGTTGGGAAATTCCACTGAGAACAGGGTAGACAGGTGATTGCTCCAGTGAGTTTTCACCCTTTGACCCTGAAACCAAATAATTGCCAACAAAATGGGGATCACATACCCAATGTACAGCAGCTACTGCCACTACTGACAGATTTTTAAGTTAGGGAGGTACAGGTGTTGTAATAGAATTGTAATAGTGTTGGTTCTGGTTCTCGATAAAAAGGTGGACCAGGAGGGCATTATTTTGCCAATTAAAATGCAGAAACGCGACGGTAGGGAGACACGAGGTGACAAGGATATGAGCAGAGGTGGTGACAGAGAACGTGAACAGGAAGCTGCCAAGAGAGCATCCAGGGGAAGTGGTAATGCAACTAGATCCAATATGCATACGTCCAGGCATAGTGTCACCTCCACCTCGGGTATCCTCATGGTTGGACCCAACTTTAGAGTTGGAAAGAAAATTGGCTGTGGTAACTTCGGAGAACTTCGACTCGGTGAGTCACTCATTCTTTATTCAAATCCCTTTTTAATGATTCGGCAAAATAAAATACAGGAAATTCTCTGATTCCCCCGAAAATTACCCCTCACTATGATAACAAATGTATTCCATTGCCTTGGAGCATTATTATTGTCCTTTTGATATTCTCACTCATCCGGAAAAATCGCATGACCTTTTTCATTTGGGTTATAGCGGAACGTCTTGAGTAAACAAAACGAATCATCTAGATCTCGATAATAAGAGTGAATGGAGTATTTCCGTCCCTTGATTTAATTCGGACAATTCCCCTTTATCACAAAAATCTTATCTCTGTACCCACTAGGGATAATAAATTCGTCGAAAACCGAAATGAGAAAATGAAAGTGGACATTCATGATTTGGAAATTATTGCGCCGACAGGTAGTCTCTTCTGAAAAATTTACCCAGGAATCTATAAAAATTATTGAATTTATTTTAACACTTAAACGATAACAAACAGAATTCATAAAATCCAATAAATTATCAATCCTTCGATCTCCATAAATTTCCATACCATCTCGTATTTGCATGGACCCCAACAAATCAGGTTTTAATCTCCTCATACATCAATAAGTACCCAGTATAACTAGTATATCGATCAGAATATTTCTAAAATAAGACTCATCTCCAGGGGTGAAGAGAAAATTCCCCATGAAAACCGTGAGAACAAAACAAAAACAACGAAAATAAAATCTCTCTCCAGCGAAAAATTATGATAAAAGAATAATAACAATAGAAAATTATTTTAAAAAGCCCAACACAAGTTGATAAATTATCCCAATAATCATTCGACATAACAACAGAAAAAGATATATCCCTTTTTAATGCTGCGCCGTTGAAAATGGAGACATGAAATGGAGATGTAAATGAAAAATGAATCTAGAAACTGCACGATAAAATGCTCGCTCATAACGTGTCTATACTTGTTATCAGCTGATTTTATCAGTGCGCGCAATGCTCATCGCTGTTATCTCCAGATCACGTATACTCTACTCACTCAAAACTAGTGATCACGTCAAAAAGTTATTGATTAACAAAAGTCAAAGAATAACTAAACAAAAATATTTCATAAACACCCATGCGCAACTGGAGTTACTCATAAATTCTCATCACGAGACGTTCGACAAATATAACTTCAGACAGGCATAAGAATATTAAACGGATAAATACTTCGTACACAAGTATTGTCCCCGTGATGAGAAGGTGAGAATATACCGATGAATTATCGAAACGGAATTCGAGCTACAGCTGCGTGCACACTCATGAAAGACCACTAATTACGAGGGGAAACATTTTCATTAATAATAATTCAATGAATACTCAAACACACGGAAGGTAGCAAAAACCGACCCCAAAAAAAGGGGGGAAAAAGCGTTGCAATTTGCAACATTGGGAATTAAACCTCAATTACTCGATAAAAATAATGCTACCTCGTAAAATGACGAGTAATGTATATTTTCAACCTAAAAGTGTTGATGTGGAAAACTTATTTACAATTCCCCGGTGAAAATAGATATCACGACTGAGACATTCTATGCTTAGTTGAATTGGTGGTTTGATAACAGAATCAAGATAATAGTTATTTCTCTTATGGACGGGTAAATGTGTGGGTAACAAGAGAAAAGTGGCTGGGACTTCCTTCAGAAAACGGGTCTCCTCCTTCGTCCTCGGTGCGAAACGAGTCGAGACAACCAAATACCTCTTTCCAACAGTAACTCACGTTAGTGTACATGAATTCCAGGCACACCACCTGGCTCATACCCTTCTTTTCACTCAACTGCATCCATGACTCTCATTCTTTCTCTCCAATTCTCTGGGGCTTGTTTACGTTAGTCGTGAACGATCGTCAGGTGCAAATGGTTTTCAGTTTAAAATTATAGCTCCATTGAGTGGGGCTCCAGGGGTAAGGACAGGGGCATCCAGGAAAATTAAACAGCAAGTTGTAGACAAGGGGAAATAGGAAAGGACGTAGTTTAATGATGCAGCGCAATGGCCTCGGGCGTGGACAATTTAAACCGAGTGCAAGGTCTCGTCGACGATGAGACGTCTGGCTCGACGACAAAATTCGTTATTTGGATCGAGAAGAATTATGAAAATTGGTGGACGAGAATTCTCGACGGTTTAAGCTCTTCAAAATTCAAGTCAATCTTCTCGTTTTTTTTTTTCGGGGGAGATTTTTTTCCTGTTATTTATTCTGCTCTCTTGTTAACACAGGATAACACCGGATGGGGAAGTACGAGATTTCAGAGCTATCGAGTTCAGGTACTGAGATGTTGAGTGAATGAGGAGAGGGGGACTTCCGGTTGGTCGCAACAGAAGGGCAACGAAAAAAAAAAATGGAGAACTAGAGGACTCCGAGGGGATCGAATCGATTGGTCTCTGCTTTTCAACTTTCCCACGGCTCCCTCCTCTTCAGCCATCCTTTTTGTCGATCCAGAAGTGAAGAAATCGAGTGACACGTGTGCAATTGAATTTTTGACGGGTTCTAGGCGGTCAGCTGGTCTCGAGGGTTGACATTACTGGGACAAATGGGTACATGGAGATGCTGGAGATTCACTTTCTGAACTGACAACTCTCTCTTAGCTGTAAAAACTTGGGGGCTGACGTCACTCGCTCTAATCAAAGAAGTTTCACCTTCTTTTGTGCTGAATACATTTTTAGTAACTCGACTGGTCGTTTCTACAGGCATCTACAGGCATTTTTGAACATTCAGAGACAGGTTGCTACCTGTCTCGTTGGATAGTGACTCACATCGTGCCATCGCGATGACAGAGGTGAAATGACCCCTCGAATCCAGTGGCGCCGGATTTTTTTTTTCTCCTATTGAATATTCTCGGAGTTTATTTCGCATTATTTCAGTTAGACGGTTGAATTTCCTTTTATCAATTTTCTAAATTAATCATGGAAGCTATATTTTCGCCTGTTGATTTCTCCGTCCCTGGATTTATCATCGATATTTTTTATTAAAATCGATAACACCGACTATTCCATGACGATTGAAGTATTATCGAGTGAGATAAAACCGAGGAGAAAGAATGAGTTTTATCCCAAGACTCGATGACACTTGGTAGGGAGCACAAGAGTTGGCCAGTGGTTGAACGAAGGTCGGGGTCTCATTGGAATATTCTCATTGGAGTTCACTTTACCCATTTAAATCCATCGGTATCGAGGAGTCGCGATTGATTTTTATTTTTTCATCAAACACTCGATGCGAAGAGATGGAAAATCGAAAGAATAAGGAATAAAAAATTTTATGAATGAATGGCAGTGCCGGATTGAAATTCTCTAGGCATCCATCCTCCGTTTCTTTATTTCAGTTTCTGGCAAATAATTAATCGATACTGCCGCCGCGATGTCGGTTGAACGACTCGGAGTTTCCAATTCCCTTCAACTACCGTATCCCATCTTAGTCAAGTAAATGACTAAATTGGATCGTAACCACTTTACTCCACCGCCCGTGACGCTAATTATCATGTGATTGCGGATTATAGATTTAAACCGAAGAGGACGATCTTATCTCCAATCTTCCAGTGAATTCTCTGCGAATTCCAGATGGCACAGGAGAAACGGCGAAAATCTCACCGGAAAAGCGAATTGCGTGGGCAAATTAATGAAAATTAATGAGAATGAGAATGAGAGTGGATACGTAATCAAGAGTCAGCAAAGCTACACCAGTGGCAAATGTCAAAAATAGAATTTTTCATATTTTTCTTCTTTCGCTGGGTGTATTTTTTCGAATAATCCGAGTGATATCTGGGAGGCCAGGCCACAAACAAAAACAGTCGTCACTGTTGCTGTGCTGTAGTCACGTGTATAGAAATGCATAATTATTTTTTACCCGGAGTATTCGCCCGATAGCCTCCGTACCCTGACCTACATTTACACACCGGGCCTCTTGGTAATACCGACAATGAAATTGTCCACCTTTAACTTGAGTGAGGCCAGAAAAATGTGCGACACACTCGATCGTCTCACTAATATTATAATAATTTTGCCATCTGCCACTCGCGTAATGCCTCGATATTTTCGTGAATATTTAGCGAATTAAAATATTTTCATTATAACATTTCGATGGGTTTATGGATTTTTTTATTATTACAGAATAAAATTTGAAACCGCCACCGAGAGTGGCATTGCCTCCATGGCACTTGCCCTCTCAAAAATTTATTCACTGACTCCTGCCAAATTGCCGTGACAATTCCACATCGATTGTTCATTTGAATTTTTCCCGCTCCCCCCGTGTATTCATTGAATAATTGACAACAGCTAGATGCATTGAGGGAATTACTCGTGTCATGAATGACATTATGTGGATTATATTGTCTCCAATTCTCCGGGAGACTTTGCAGTTGTAAATACCTTTCTCAGTAAAATTTATTGCAAATTATGTGAGAGAAAAAAATGATATAAAATAGGAGAAGGAAAAATACATGAACAGGGATGTCCAGGGGTGAATAAATGGAGGGTGAAGGCAAGACAAGATGCTTGGAGAGGAAAATCACAGAGTGCTTGGGTAAACTCGGCATCGCGTGCATCTATCGATCCGCAACTGGCCTACTCCCATACATCCTCACCCTCTCTCACCCTCTCTCACCCACTCTCTTATCTATTTATTCTCTCCCTTGCTCCTACTCATTTGTGGATATTAGAATGTATCTCAGTGTACAAGAGGTGTTTCAGCCGCCCTTTCACGACTTCTCACTCTCACTATCAACTCGCTCTATCCCCCATTGACATCCCTTGTCTGCCACCAGAGCTGCCCTCTCGCCAACCCTTCCTCCTGCCTTCACCATCACCGTTATCACCGCATCGGTTTCCACTTAAAGATCTTCAACAATTTTTAACCCCACCCCATTGTTTTCATTTTCCCATTCTCCACAAAAATTATAATATCGAAGAAAATTCAAATCCTGGCACGACTTCTCTTTAAAAATCCAATTCGTTGAATTTTAGTCGAGAATTTCTCCATTCTGTGAATGTCAGGAAGAAAAAAAATGTTTAACAGTAGGTGCCCAGTAGTAAAACTCTGTTTATTCGTACGTTACGTGAGGGGTTGAAAAAAATGTGGGCCATTAAACTCATTTCACAAGTTTGAAATATTCCAACAGCTTGAAAACACGTGAAGCCCCGAGTAAATCCATCTCCATGAAGCCCCAGTTCTATTTATTTCCCCAACAGTCGTAAATATCGAATGTTACGTTATTAACTCATTACGCAATCAGAATTAATGCACGATGAATTTCTAGTGCAGTGCCACTGTCTACCCAATGATTAGACAATAATTAATTAAAATAATATCGTTTCCCCGTAAACTCATCAGTCGTTGAAAGGTGTTTAACTGCGATATTAGTTGCATAACTGAATGATTGATCAATTACAATTAAAATTCAATATTCTCCCACCGTAAAATTAATATCCCGCACCTGTAACTTCACCACCAACTTGGATTATCCGAACAAGCTGAATCACCTCGTCGGCATTATCCCCCTGAATTCAAGTGGATTGGAGCGAGTCGGAAGTCATTTCGATTTGCCACCATCCTGGAATAGATGAGGTCGCACGTGAAACTATCGATACCACAACGCCCGCAAATTCAGGGACTATACCAGGGGTGAGTTTGTTCAGGGAGAGTGCTATTACTATTTAACCAGGAGGTGCTCTAGAATGCCCCCACGGAGGTGCAGAGACATTGCAATGAATAAAAGGTCCTTTATACCACCACCGAAGTTGCCATCCGTGAAGGGTGTGACACCGATATATCCACCCTATCCCACCGGTTCTGATCTATATATTAATCATGAGGAAGACATTCTCGAGACAATTTTCCCCCGAAACTCGTGTACACCCTGGGGACATTGAAACATTCATATTGACTCCGTAAAACCGGCTAGGACCAGAGGAGAAAACAAATCGAAATATCTTGGGGAGACTAATGAGAGAGCCAACAAAACTTGATTAATCCCAGGGGAAACAGCCATTCTCTCGGTAAAAAATAAGAACTGTGCAGTTTCCTTCATCAAGACCTTTAGATAATAAATATACCCTCGACCCTGCAGTCAGCGGTGACAATAAAATCCGATAGCCAACACCAGACGAAAAACAAACCACTGGTGTATACCTGCGATAATAAAAATAAGACAAAAAAAAAAATGGAAAAGCGTTATGCATCGATGGTATATCCGGATGGTGGATGTATCGTGTGATGCATGCACATTGTTATAGATATACCGTTGGTACGCTCTCGCGCGTTTTTTATTAGATTAAATATTAGCGCATGTGACCGTGAAACCTTTCGATCACGAGGTCGAGAATTTTAACTGGCTTCTGGTATTCTTGATTCTCCATCATCTTCATTACCTGCATCATCCTCACGTTTGCTTCATTGCTGGTCAATAATTCGGTGTCATGATATATTCATGGGTGAAAAATTTTAAAAACCCGGAGGAAATAAAAAAGAACCGGAAAATTCAGGGCCGAACACCTGGAAGGAGCATTAACGGCGGGAAGACCTGGCCACTTGGTAACAACGGACGTGTCATTGACTCCCAGCGTCCGTATAAATGTGTTACCAGGCGAGACTGAATAGGGAATCCTTCAGGTGACTTCCCAATGGCTGTTTGAAAATAATGAACAAGACCCAAATAAATTCTATAAAAAAATAGTCCCAGCTCTGTCTCTGTCTCCGTCTCATCGTTCAACCTATTCCTCATTTTTGCTCTGCCCTTTTTTTACATTTCTTTTATTTCTTTTTGAGAAATCCCTGGGATCGAGTTTAGTAGGCACGTGAGGTATTTTCAGTCTGGCCTAGTTTATCGTTAGACTGTACGCGGTCGATCGAAAGCACGACCCGCACCATGGCGCAGACCAAGTGTGACTAAATCGTATTCACGCACAACTCAATTTTTAATATTACCCTTGTCAATACCAAGTGCATGAGTCCAACAGTTGATACGATGATTCACGAGGGAATTATTGATGGCGTACGCATGGCAACGGTACACGCACTTGGAAGTTGTAAATTTTAGTCGTTACTGAGAAGAAGTTGATGGAGAGACTAGACTAGATACTCGACGTTGACCACTGATTATTTATTATTCCCTGATGCTTCCCCGGGAGTATCAGCATGAGACAATGAATTCATTGTATGAGAATTGAAATAGCTGTTGACTTCTTGTAACATGATAATGAAGTTTGATGCATTCTCTCACACCTCATTTCTCATTTTATTCTTTAGGCAGTCTCTAATGTTGAATTCATCTTCGTTATTTTACAGGGAAGAATCTCTACAATAATGAGCACGTGGCAATTAAAATGGTGAGTACATATCATTGTTGACACTCGAGATTGTTGAGGGAAAAGCAATCTGCACTTTATATACAAGGGAAAGTAATACCACGCGAGACTCTTTCACCCGGTTGTTGTTTCAACTCTTGACGTAACACTGAAACTTTGATACTTTTAATAGAAAAATGGTAAGGCCATCAGACACCTGTTATAAACCGAGGCAATTACTCTATAGTCTATTATATCATTCCTGGAATTAGTCAAGTTTCTCCCAGTGAGCTTTTGAGACAGCCCGTGGGGTAAAACTCGAGTGGCCACCAGAGTTTGATGAATTAAAATTCCAGAGTGCAAATTGCTTTACACTATTAATGAGATAATTGTCCACAACTGAGCCACTGGATATTTGAATTGTTTTCAGGAACCAATGAAGTCAAAGGCGCCACAGCTCCACTTAGAGTATAGGTTTTATAAATTATTAGGTACCCATGGTGAGTACTCATTGCACATATTCTTTTCTCGCTTGTTTCACGCTCACAAGTACCGTGAAAGTCCTCGTTTCAATCGATTTTTCCATAAAAATTATGATTCGAGAACAAGTGGAGGTTGAAACAAGGGCGAAACGCCATTATTTATCAGCTTCAGCTACTGATTATTGTCATTACACCGAAAAAGGCATATTAAAAAACGCATTATATACGACGATTCATTGGTACAGTCCATAACACGCATATAGAAGGTGTACCGGAGGTGTACTACTTTGGCCCATGCGGAAAATATAATGCCCTGGTAATGGAGCTCCTTGGACCCAGTCTTGAAGACCTATTTGACCTGTGTGGGAGAAAATTCACCCTTAAAACCGTTCTCAACATAGCAACCCAACTCGTAAGTCTCATTTTATTTTTACCGATTTCGAGATAAACAGTGAGAGTGTCACTGGCCCTTTGTCTTCTCTCGTGACTCATAAATAATTGTCAATGGTTGTTATTTTTTTATTTCCCTCCAGCTCCATAGGATAGAATACGTACACAGCCGGCATCTGATTTATCGCGATGTCAAGCCCGAGAATTTTCTCATCGGACGGAATACGACAAAGAGGGAGAAGATTATTCATATCATCGATTTCGGATTGGCCAAAGAATACATAGACTTGGAAACTAATAAACATATACCGTACCGGGAACACAAGAGTCTCACTGGAACAGCGCGTTATATGAGTATTAATACTCATCTGGGGAAAGGTATGATTTCATTTTTCCATTAATCTGGATCGTTGAATCTCTCACAAGTAGATTTGAGTAAAATATTGACAATTGTTAATGGAAATTGGTGATTGGTTTAATACAGAGCAAAGTAGGCGAGACGATCTTGAGGCACTTGGACACATGTTCATGTACTTTCTTCGAGGTAGCTTACCCTGGCAGGGTCTCAAAGCCGATACGCTCAAAGAACGTTACCAAAAAATTGGTGATACAAAGCGTGCAACACCAATCGAGGTACTGTGCGACGGTCATCCCGAGGAAATGGCCACATACTTACGCTACGTGAGAAGATTGGATTTTTTTGAGACACCTGACTACGAGTACCTGAGAAAACTCTTCCAGGATCTTTACGAGAGAAGGGGCTTTGTCAATGACGGCGAATTCGATTGGACGGGTAAAACCATGGTGGGTTCAGATTAATTGAATTAAAATAAATAAATTAAATGTGATTGAATGGTGATGCTGCACTGCATGCTCTATCAATAATTCATAGTCAAATTCTGAGTGAAATAAAACTAACACAACCGAGAATCCTGGAGATAATGGCGTTTCTTATTCATCATCAGTACTGGGTACTGTAAAGCTGGCTTATTAATCTTTGAATTTTGCATGCTGCTCTATATCTATTCTCTAGCCCGACAACTTTGTACAGCTTCGGGCATTGAGGGACGCCGCACCCTCTCATATTGGAAAAACTAAGTCTGACAAGGTTCGTCACCCACCGGAACCGCAAATTCAACCATCATTATGTTTTTTCTATTCACTCACTTCCCCCACTTGTTCAACCTGCATTCAATTTCTCATAATTCACACCATGAGTCATATCCCTCCATTTTTTTTTTTGCTCCATCCAATTTCTCGCAGCTGTGAAGAGTGCATAAAAATTCTCAATCCGAACGCACCAGTCTCAGTTGTTTGAACAAATATTATTACTAGTAGTTGATACTCATGCTTCATGTCCGTATTTAATAGTGTACACCCTGAAAATAATCACCAGAAACTTGACGTTACCGCTGACGTTCAAGTACGTTATAAATCAGCTTGGCAAAAATAATGACACACTGTTCCGGAATATATCGCATCTTCTCTGCATTACAGTCGACTCCTGTTGGATCCATGCAGACAGGACACGAGATCGTCATGTCGCCGAATCGAGATCGACATCCTGGTGCATACAAGGTAACAGGAAGTCTCAGTCTATATTATTTCCTAAGCATGGTCGTGTACAGTTAAAAGAGAACTATTTTTTTTTTCTGTTACTCAAGTAACCGCATGTACCTTGCAGTTTGTGAAAGCAATGAAAACACATGGTAATCATGAATCGGTTTAATAATATTGTCAGTGATTTTTCCATTTCAAAGTCCCAACGGTGATGCAAATCGAGTGTAAAGCCAAAAAAACATTCAATTTTATAAATACACAACTTTAATTTCTGTTGACTGGCACAACAAACGTGGATTAACGTGACAACAATCAATAGGATTACGATGATTTCGAGGAGGATGTGGTTCTGATACTGGATGAAGTACGCGTTGAGTTGCAAGGACGATACGTAAGCCTCACGAAGTGAAAACAAAAGTCAAATCAATGAGATAATGCTCTAAAAATCATGGCATCACGTAGTCCGCTCGATCATATTATTCAACAAATACGGTAGATTAATTCTCGCCAGCGTATGCACCACATTAGTTTACGGTAGTTTATTACAGTCGACATAAAGCTCAATTGTTAATGGCCAGGCACTCGTTCAAAGTCTCATTGCGCAGGCTGAGAGGAAAAACAGTACCAGTATCGTTTAATTAATCACTCCCTCAAAGCGGTGAACATCTCAGTTCAACCACACGAGGTATTTCACGCCAAATGAGTCAACCCCTAAAAAATTCATGCCGATTAATTCAATGATAAATACCCGGCAAATCTTTAAAGCTCTCCGAAATCGATTATCGATTTACGAGGAAGTGCGGGCAAACGGTTGACTGATTTCGTCTGAAATTCTTCGCAATCATGAAAAAAATCAAAGCATACACATCTGTGGTGTTGTGCAATCATCTTGTGTTAATGATTCCCCCTCGATACTCGAAACCAAAAAAATTGATTATGAGATGACAGAGTTTTGACTAACAAAATACGCTATATCCAACAATGTCCCGCTTGTTCCTCCAGGAAGTGGCAGGTGGTGGGGTGGGAGGCGGGGGCGGTAAGGGGGTGGGAGCAAGTTGGCCAGAGACTGTGAAGCAATCGGGTGCTGGTGGTACTTTGACGCCTGCCGACAGACATGGCTCCGTTCAGGTGAGTGAACCCGCATCTTCCTCTCCCCCTGAATAACAGAAAAAGAAAAACCAACGAAATAGCAATAAAAAAAATATATTTCTCAATCACTTGGCAATTACCGTCTGCACAACGTGCAACCCTGATTTTCGTTCATGTGGCATTTACTGCTCTTTTGAAGTTTCATTTTATTGATGACGCGAACGGTATTGTTTGAGCGTGATCAGGATTTAATAGTTGAATTTCTTTTTAGTCACGGCATCATCGGATTATGGTCAGTCCACGTTATTTTTTTTGGTTTCCTCCTTTCTCCCATCCCACCCCCCCAGCCCTCCACATTGTGATTGCCTCCTCGTGTTTATCATTAATGCCGCATGCTAGTCTCTGCGATGTTATTTTTTTTTATTCAATTAATATTTATCCTCTCTGGGTAATTAGCATACACTAACTGGCGTATCAGCTGTTGCAAGTATTATTCCCGTTTCAAGTACTGTGTGGATATCGTGTATATCGTTGAATTAAAGTCCAAACGTCTTCACGGTTCAATGGCCGTCTCACTCTATTATGTATACACTCATTATCAATCACTCTCAGATGTGTATTCTAGGTATAAACTTCGATGTACTCTGCTGTGTTTTTTTTTTTTGTAATAAATGATTGATGTCTCAGGTGTCTAATGCACTCAGCAGAGAGTCTCTGAGACAGTGAACCCTCTTGTTTCATTTATATCTTATGCTGTAGTTGATTAATTGAGTTTAATTATTTTTTATTGCTCTATTTATTCGATTTGCTCTTCCAGTTCTTCCTAGTCTATAACTCGATATTGGCCAAGTTTGAAATACATTTATGTAATGGATGGTGTATTTGATTGATCTAGGTGGTGTCTTCGACGAACGGAGAATTGGCAAACGACGATCCAACCGCAGGACACTCAAACACACCAATAACCGCACCACAAGAAGTCGAGATGATCGATGAAACCAAGTTAGTACCAAATTTTGATGACATTAGGATGTTTGTCCTTAATGCATGTTTAATTGGGTATGGATAATAAATTAGTGAGTGCATTTCTCGCTCGTTATTCTCTGATGATCATTTAATTTTCATCAGTCAGTCTACTTCGAACTCCAGCACGATCTAGTGAATTGTCTTCTCTTTCATTAATCATCCTCTTCACACTTATCTTAATTATTACTGTTAACCATTACTTGCAGCATCGGTATTCCATCGAAACGATTAAAAACGTGTCCTCGCTGCAGAAAAATTAAGTCAAGTTCGCACAGAGCGGTTATTGCACTTGTCGATAAAACACCACGTCCTGATGAATTTGTCTAACCACGTGATCCTCTGATTTTCCAATATAAACTAAACGCTCGTCGACGGAGGAAGCTGCATCGCTAGCACCACGTGAGGACGGTTAAAATAAATACGCGTCATTTGGTTTGGCCTATATAAGATATAAACTTCAACGTCGGGGGCGAACATTTTCTTGTAAGACATTCCCTTGAAATCAACTCCATTGTTATAAAGTTGAAAATGTCGAAATTCTCTCAATGTCTGAGAGCAAGAACCGGCGATGCAACTTGCCAAATCGGAACTTCTTTTCATCTTTTGAAAAGAAACGGTTGAATGTCATTTCTGTGATTTTTTTTTTATTAGACTATATACTTTGATATCCAATGTAATTCCTACAGAAATTTATCATTCCGAAGTCGATAATGTCAAGATTTATGTTAAGATTTCTCTAGTACATGCGAATAAAAAGATTGAGTGTAGTGTCAGGCGTGTGGTAATGCCGCTTAAACATTTTCCACTTTTAGCAAATAGCGATAATTCGCGGCGTGAATTAACCGCGCATAAAACGTTCAACTTAATAGATTGTAATAAATGATAATTTCATGCAAATTTGCAATGGTTTCAAAGTTGAAAGAAAAATTTCTCTCAGAGTGAAAAGATTGAGTTTTCTAATGCGCGCAGTGATGCAGCTTGAAAAATCAGAGCATCTTTTCAAGTAGCAGCAATAAAGCCCCGAGATAGCTCCACTCGGAAGAACTTTCATATCCCATTCTTTTCAAATACACAAACCCAACCCCTGGCATCACTCTCACTTCACTCGAGCCATGCACGACGTTTTCATCAGGCATGTTTCAATCCAGCTGACTCTTTGTCCAACTCCATCTCTATATAAATTACTGTGACAATTGCAGAATCTAGAGAATAAACAATAAATAAATAAAAACAAGGAGATAATTCGAAGCGATTCTAAGTCCTATTAGTGTTTGCTTCATTTCCAGATGCTGCTGCTTTTTCAAACGAAAGAAGAAAAAAAGTGGAAGGCAGAAATGACTGTCTTTTACTGTTGGTCTTGGCGACACGGTACAGTGTGCGGGTAATAGTGCTGGTGGAAATGGAGGTAGAAATGTTGGAGTTGCTAGGCATAGTAAACGGGACAATGGAGATGCCGATGGAGCTGGTGATCGAGAACGAGAAGTGATTAAACTACTCGGTGACTTCAGTCGATCAGCCTCCAGAGACTCGGTACTCCAGACAACTGTCACGGCAACACCAACAACTACGTCACCACCGTTGTCCAATTGATGTAACTCAAGTGTTTTTTTTTATAACTATTAACAGCTGATGAACAAAACGAAGGGAGAGAATAAGCATAACTGCACCACCAACCACACCCATTAATATTACCACTACAGCTGTTATTCTATTGGTATGATTATTGATTATCATTATTATTAGGTCATTATCATCGGAGTCTGTCAATGTCGTGTACATGCAACGTGCAACATCGCATTGACCGAGAGAGTGAAAGAGTGAACTATATTTTGTGGTGAAAGAAGTTAATGGGCAGTAAGAAACGCCGGAATTACGTGAACAATTTAGATAGAATTGAGCTGTTTTGAAATCTCGAACTTTCGCATTTTCAGTTTATTCATCCCTATTCGTCCATTTGTTTTTAATGTGGACAATAAAAGGTCACAGCTGTGCGAGTGTTTTTTTTTTCTTCGTTTGATTAGAAGCTCATTGATTTCGTATGATTGCTTTGTTCATTGCCAATTAATATAATTGATGATGTCTTCGTACTGAAATTACACCATTTTGGATATTCCCTGGGGGTTTTAAGTGGTTCTTTAATAATTGTATATATGTTTGGCACTGAAGGAAGTTTTTAAGCTTATTACCTCTCGATATGTAAATCGTGAGAATACCTGGAGCAAGCAGTAGTTGACAATATACTTGCTAGGTAGAATCAGACGAAAATTTATGAAGCACTCATTAAATTTCTAGCTCAGCGATCTTATTAACGAAGAACTTATTAGAATTGTAATATCCGCCGTGGGTGCCCTATCCAATTGTACACAGCAATCGCATTGACCTAAAGACAACCTATGACAGAACGTTTTTATGTACTTATAGTTGCTATTCCGAAATAACTTGGGTAAATAAATTATGGAAATAAAATGTATTTTTTCGTGGTTATATGCTTGATGCTGGAGTCTGTCGTGGGATGTCTTGTTATCATTGTACAGCCATGAACAGCTGATTTTAATGAAAATATGGGAGATATAGTTGATGATACAATTTAATATGAATTATCTTACTGTCTGCGCCCTAGGATCCGATGATGCCAATTTGACGTTCCGTTTATTCCGAATCGATGATGAATACATTTATCTACGATCATCTGAATTTATTGCTCTAACAATTGAAAATATTGAATGATTCTGTTCATTCGCGACACCGAGTGAAATTTTTGATTATCGCAATCCACTCCTTGAATGTGTAGAAATAAAATGCAATGATGTATTTATTTTTTGCAGAGCATTTTTTTTGTGATGAGCAATAATTTCACTCGTTAATTCGCGAAGACAAAGAGTGATGAGGGAATTGTTATGTGATTGGAAGAGCTATAAATTAATTCTTCCTGATGGAAAAACAATTATCGCCCAGGAATGATCTCTGATCGGGGTACAGGTGTTTCCACCTAAAATTCACAGCTCCAATTTGCGTAGGCAATCGTGTGGAGCGAATGGGGGTGTTGAACATCATACAATTGCGCAATTGCAAGTTATCAATGAACAAATCACTGGTATTTTCGTTCTCGTAATTGATGGCGTATGACAACAATGAATATGATGAAACAACAAGGCAACTTTTATAATTTGTTTATCTAGATAAGGTAGTAATATGGATTAATGATTTTCAATTGTTTTTCAACATTGAAACACGACTGACTGCTGGCTAGGTACGGTTGTGATTATCATTTGTCATTTGGGGTGTTGTATTTTTTCCGGGGAATTATTTCGTTACTTCATCAGCTTAAACTGCGCAATTATTTTTCTAAGAAGTATAACGAGTCATTCGAGAGATTGAATGATTGATTATCAGCCAGAGTATTCTAGTATTCATCAAGCACATCGCCATTCATCAGCTGTTTTAATAGGATTATCTTTTTTTTTTTGTAGTTCCTCTTTCACTTTGTCAGTAGGAGTCCGCGCATTTTTAAAATATACTGTTTTTTGGGCCCAGCTTATGGAATAATAAATCCGTGTACATGCCTTTCTATAAAATTCATCATCCCATTCTGCACTTTCTATTGGTGCAGGAGATTATCGATAAGTCGGTTGATTCGATTTTCCCAATGACAAAAACTCATACAGATGGGGATAATTGATGCGTGATTAAGACCAAGTAATGAAACTTGAGCTTGTTTTAATTATAACGAAAATATTTCTATGATTTTTTACCTAATTAATATGTTGGAGGTGATCCAAATGGAATAGTGTGACACTCTGTTATCGCGATTGTCACGTTTGGAATTTGTAATTATCGTATCAGTCAATTTTACATCTAAACGAATAACCGTGAAACCAAACCATCAATTGGGGGGATAAAGTCTTTGTGATCATTACATGAGTGAAAAAAAAAATGGGGATGTTTGTTTTAATCGTGTATTAATTGTACATAATCTACATTTTCGAGAAAGTTAACGTCGAAGGGAGGAGAAATAGAGAGGCCGAAACAATGAACTTCGGACGATGAAAAACCGTCTTGACTTAACAATGGACGACTAATTAATTTAATAATAGCTAAAAATTCAAATAAATACAATTTATCAATGCCAAAAAGAAAAGTTCCCTAGCCTGCGCTGGTAAATTCACTGTCGCTTAAACGGAATTAATTCGAGCCAATCTCATAATTAGCTCTGATCTCCCTGTAAAACCAAAATCATGCAGACGAAGCGTAAAATCATCAGAGTATAAATTTTATTTCTAAATTCTAAGAGCAAAAAATATTGAAATGTTATCATGGAAGATATTCGCATCTGTACATTTGTAGAAGTATTAGAGGATGTAGAACTGTTCGCAGCTTAGAACAATACAAAAAAAATTAGAGTTCCAATGAGCCAGGATGGCACAGGATTAGTCGAAAACGGCATTGTGGTTATTCAAAATGAACAAGAAAATTAATCTCTTGTGATGACATAAGATACCTTGAGTTTTCTCTGTTTCACCGATAAATTTTATACTCGCAAAGAAAAAGACGATGAATATACAAAACACCTGTACTGCCCGCATAATTAATTTAGTTGACTGTTAAAGAAGAATACTAACAAAAAAAAAAAAAAAACAAGATCGAGCACTGAAAGTACGCCTCGTCCTCTTCCCAGCCCGATCTCAATCCCATTTTAAGATTGCACTAAGGAATTCACAACTAGTGACATTTACATTACAGAAAGGATTTAAAAAATGATACGTAAGAAAATGATTAATTTAATGTTATTCAATTTAATGTACATAAAGTGTTTTAATGAATAATTATCGCTATTCAGTGATTTACGAATGTGGCTAGAGATGATGAGGAATATTTAGTGAATATACATTAAGGATTAATAAATGAGAAAAATAATTTTTGCGAGTGATTGAGAGTGGTCTGCATAATCTGCACGAAAGAAATGTAAGACTGCTTTTAAAAACACCGGACCATCCTGAAGAATTAAGTACTGTTAGTCCGTACATTTTACATTTTCTAGTGTTACATCATTATTTGTGATTCGTACGTCCCTCTATTTTCATTTATACCCTCCGCTAGATCCAATTAATTTTACAACAATTATTCCTCCCCCAACGGCGTGCATCTATCCATTTCATTTACCCAGGGCTGCGCTTAAGTTAACAATATCAATAATTTAAGCTGTGATTCAATTTTATTTCTCATTATCATTAAATCGTAATCTCATTACCTAAGTAATTGACATTTTCTTTTCATATACTACCGATATTCATTTACAAATGAAAATAAATAATGGATAAATCAATGATCGCGTGAATGTTTAAATTGTAAATATGAAACACATTGTGTCACGTGCTTATATCAAGTAAAGAATAAGAAAAAATATCGTTATGAATATTTGGCATTTATTTTCTATCTCAAAAATTCATTCCTCTGAGTTATAAAAATACATAAGTCGTATTATTTAATTCAATTTAATGTTTTTTGACTGTACATCGATATTCTCAACGAGACCGTGACCAAGGAGTGAAAAATCCTCTATCATTGCAGGAACATTCAGCACAAGTTTCCCAGAGCCATCGATTCTCCTGCAATTCACATTAGGGACTTTGAACTCTCTTTTTTCCAGCTCTGTGGGCTTCATCAGTACACCTATCACAGAACCCCCGTACGTGTCGTGAAAGAACAACGCGAATGCTCCATAGTTGTTCTGCAAAATTAAAGGCCAATAGATTTTTCGAAATTACGTCCACCCAGAAAAACATAGAAATAATAAAAACGAAACTACAACAAAACGATCAACAAAAATCGAGTAGATAAATAAAAATATCAGTGAGACATAAATCCCCAGAACTTACTCTCAATTCCTCCAGATATTTATCCACAGGATTAAATCCAATGATGGGAATTGTGACATTAGGATGTGGTTTATAAGGACGTCGTTTGCTCTGAGGAAGGCTGCCATCAAGATCGAGGGCCTGGGGTCTCCTCGCATTCAATTCCGCTTTGACATGAATAAGAATATCGTACCCACCCGTGGTGGGCCTGAACATGGGTTCCCAGACTATGAAGGAGCTCTCAAACAACTCCCTCTCGACAAGCTTGAGGACTTCCTTAGCAAGGGAGGCAACCCTATTGAGAACGAGAATCGAAGGACTAACACCCGTCCATATAGATTTGTTGTGGTCGTAAGGGGTGGAAATGAAGAGAGGCGGAAGTGTTTCTCTGGTCTCTCCGAAGTGATTCTCCACGGCGACAACTTCCTCTCTGGTCATTTCCCCGTTGAAATTAACGATCACAGGATCAGTGCTCCAGGCTTCTCGTGCGAAAAACTGCAAGATCCTGATGAATGCAGTCTGCGGGATTTGAGCGGGCTTGTAGGGATCTGGATTGAGGTACATGGCTGCCACCAGGAGTTCGACAACAATTTCTGGAAAATGAGAGGCATCGAGAAGATGTGCCGACAGCCATCTCTTCACCAAACAGCACGTGGGCCCAAACGAGGGCTGCTGAGAGTGCAGTCCATGGAGTGCACCATTCAACTTAGGAAGATGAAATAGATGATTCTCCAGTGAAATTGATTCTTCATTATCCCTGTACTTTATTACACCGTCCTCCCCCATCTGTTGCTTCATCAAAGCTATCTCACGTTGATGTGCCACACTCAGACGAAAAACAAATCCATCCTTGAGGATATCCACGTAATTGCAATTTCCCTTTGCCCTGAGACCCAGTGACTTACGAACGCACTCAGCTATTTGAATGTGAAAGGCTGTTTTTGTCATTCTTACCGCTTCGAGCTCATCAGGCCACTTTCCACTGGCAGAGAGTTGAATGACTCCTTCAATCGCACGAGCTGAAGTCGGAGCTTTTTCAAGGCTGGCCGTTTCCTTCAGGAGAAGGCAATTCTCACCTTCCTCTGTGTCTTCATCTGCTTTGTAACCAGTTGCCAGTGGGGGGAATACATCAGTGTATCTGAACACTGGACTGATCCCCTGCACTCCAGTAATCGATAATGGGAGCTCTGTCAACCCTGTCAACTCCTTCTCCAGGGAGTTGAAGACCTGCAGAGTTTGGAGCGTCGCCTCTTCTCCAGTTCCATACGGAAATTTTATGAGCTTCGTCTTCCTATACTTGAGGAACTCGTCGATCTGATCTCCAGCGTAGAAGTACTCGGATTTAGAAATATCCAATTGCGACTTCAATAGAAACATAACAATTTGTTTGGTGATCATTCGTTTCTCGGAGATGGTAGTGGACTTGTTCCAGACGACAGCCTCGCAGATGGAGCCATCCTGGAACCGCCTAAGCTCTGATTTGTTCCCCCAGAGCTTTCGGAAATCAGCGGCTTCAGGGGCATTGGCCTCAGGCCCCTTATCAAGTATATTGAAACAAAACTCTGGATTCAATTGGAATCCAATGAAGATTCTGTTGAGATGAGAGGGAATTTTTTCTGTCAACTCCCACTCCTTGTAGTCTTCTGGTTTGACGTATAATTGAGACACCCGTCGACCCAGGCCCTTCTTCAAGATATTCACTATGAGATTGATTACATGAGATCGTTTGTGCACCCCGAGGTCTACCTTCTTCTCATCAGGAACCCCATCAAGGAGTTTCTTGAGGCCCTCAACATCATGAAAACATACAAAGTGATCGAAAATTGAGTAAAATGGCAATCGTCTCATGAATAAAACCTGAAAGCTGTTGATGCTGGCGTTGTCGAGGGACTTGACAGCCACCTCTGCCTCACTGCGAATCCAAAGGTAATTATCAATCGATATATTAGCTGCCAAGTTGTGATGACCAGTGGAATCGAGGAATACACAGTCGTAATATTTCTGGTACTCACTGACTCGAGATTTAGCCTCGAGGTCTGGACACATTGTGATGCCAGTCTCAGACCAATTTGTCTGCACCAAATTATTCCATACGTTCCTGACAATCTGATAACTACTCATGAATGTATTAAGCCTCTTCTCGTACAGCAGATGCAGTACGTACATCATCAGGATGTGACCGTTAAATCCCTCGTATGATTTCTCTGGTTGACGTTGGAAAAGCCAGATCTTCAATAGAATAATCCCATCCCTCAGGTTTGGGTACTCCTTCAGGACCTTCGAGGCTCGAGTGTTGGTCTCCCCCATCGTGAGGTCGTGCAGAATATTGGAATTGTAATGAGGAGTCGGGGGGAGTGCTGAGACCTCCGAGGGATCGTTATTTGAATTGAAAAACCAGTTCGGTCGGACTGAGTTCTTCTCTGGAGAGAATCTGGAGAGTTTGAAGCTGCCCTTCTCCGCTGCTATATGAATGTGAACCGTCACTCTTTTTCCAAGAGCTCCAGAGGGAATTATCTTCAGTTTCGGCATGTAACTCTCTCCAAAGAACTTCTTTCTCTCGATAAGAGAGTCGGAGAGATTCGCAGCGATGTATGAGAGATAAATCGATCGCTTTCTCATATATCTGTAGTCCTGGTAATCATGTTTCTGGAATAAAGCCGAGGGCATCTCCACCATGACGTCTACGATTACATCGGGGCCTACTGTAGTATTCACAGTGTAGGAACCGATTGGAGATATGTTCGAGGGCTTCAGAAATCTGTAGGTTCCCTTCTGATTAATCGGGACATCGAGGTCAGGCACTTCTATTTCTAATTTTTTCAGAGATTTCTTCCTCGTCAATTCTCGTTCTTTCGTCTCTGAAATTGATCTGATATTCTTCTTCAATTCAATAAACCACGTGTCAAACAATTTTTTATATTTATCCTTTAATTTAACTTCAGTCAATATCTCTTCGATTTGGAGTCTGAAGAGATTCGAGTGGAACAGATTCTCGGTTTCTCGTAGTTGAGATAATTCTTCAGCTGTTGGCGGCTTGTACAATTCATTATTCTTTTTTATTCTTTTCTTCTTATTCTGGTGGGAGTCCTCGTCGTCCCGAGGACGTTTTCTCACAAATTCTCCAGGTTCGAATGAATCATCTTCATCAAAACTATTTTCTGATTGATTCCCTTCGTCGGAATCCAAAATATCTTCGGATGCACTGTCATTTTCTGACTCTTCTAATTCTAAGCTCTTGACTTTCATCTTATTCGATCTCACAGATTGATTAATTTGTTTAAAGTATTTTGTTGAGGTATTTAATTTTTTTATCTCATGTTTTCACGGGTAAATCATGAAATGGGGGTTAGGAAATCAACGCGACGAGGGAAACAACACGTGGAGTACTGGATTTTGTTAGGTTTCTGTTGTACCGATTCCTCCTGATCTTCATTGAACAATCACGATTATAGTGGAGAGGAAAAGAAACCGTAACTTCCACCGGCATCAGGAATTTCCGATAATAATTATTCGTGCAGTGTGAAAAAAAAAGTTGCGAGATGTTGAGCAGGACGAGGCTCTTGACGAGGAATTTGGGAGTTCTTCGGGTGAGTTCCCGTTGTTTGAAAAATCCCTGGAGAATCAGGGACGCACAACATAACCTGGAATTGTTGAGATTAGAAGAAATATTTGTGATAATTTCAGAATTCTGCGATGTACCCTGAACCCGGTATGACAACCCCAATACTTTGGTCTTTGTATCCAGTTCAAGTGAGACACAAAGCCAGTACTCCACTCAACACGATTTTCATGTTCGTGCCCCAGCAAGAGGTGCGTTAATTACCTTAATGATTAAATAAATGAGAAATTGATTGATTTCTTCGAGTCTAACGACAAAATGTTGACAGGCTTGGATAGTCGAGAGAATGGGAAAGTTCCACAGAATCCTGGATCCGGGCTTTAACGTGTTATTTCCAATAATTGACAAAGTTAAATACGTTCAGAGTCTCAAGGAAATAGCTATCGACGTGCCAAAACAGAGTGCAATCACGTCCGATAACGTGACCCTCGATATCGATGGTGTTCTCTACCTCAGGATAAATGATCCATACCTGACATCTTATGGAGTGGAGGATCCAGAATTCGCGATAATTCAGTTGGCACAGACGACGATGAGATCGGAACTGGGTAAAATATCGTTAGACAATGTATTTAGGGAACGTGAAGGACTCAACGTTAATATTGTGGCGAGTATAAACAAGGCCAGCGAGGTCTGGGGAATTACGTGTCTCCGATACGAAATTCGTAAGCTCTATATTTAATTATTCTCCAATCCAATTTTAATTGGTACAATTTTTTTAATCTGAAAATGATTATTTTATGGTCATTGACTTGAAGGTGATATTAGACTGCCGGCGAGAGTTCAGGAGGCCATGCAGTCGCAGGTGGAGGCGGAGAGGAAGAAGAGGGCTGCAATCCTCGAGTCTGAGGGAGTCAGGACAGCTGATATAAACGTGGCTGAGGGAAAACGACAGGCTAGAATTCTCGCTTCAGGTATAAAATACTACACTGGTTGATATTTCCTGGAATTTGAGTCGTTTCATATTTTTTATTGCTTGATCAGAGGCTGACAAATTAGAAAAAATCAATCAAGCCCAGGGTGAGGCAACAGCTCTACTGGCGGTGGCCGAAGCTCGTGCCAAGGGCCTGCAAATAGTGGCAGATTCTCTCGGTCTTCAAGACGGTAAAAATGCAGCCTCCTTGAGCATAGCTGAGCAGTACGTCAAGGCATTCAACAAACTGGCCAAGACAAACAACACTTTGATACTTCCAAGCAACGTAGGAGACGTCTCGGGTCTCGTCGCCCAAGCTCTGTCGATATACAAGCAAATTCTCCCTCCAAATTCATCCAACGGCTCTTCCTCTCAATACGACACGAAGAGTTTGCCCGAACGTAGTGAAGCTGACGAAGTTTACGAATATTTCAGTGACAAGGAAGAGGCGGAGAAACATAGAGACACCAACAAAGCGCGTAAATCGTAAAAAAAATTTTTTGGTTCTTTCACCTTTTTTTGTTAAAAAAAATGATTTATTTAAATTACATGATTATTCATTCCATTCGTTTACGATTAGGCTACCCTTTCTGGAATTAATTCTTCGATAAAGGAAAATGCAATTTCCATATAAAAATGTTTCCGTTTGCAGATTCTGAATTCATGTCTGTTTTTTCAGATAAAATTCAAATGGAAGTCAGATATTTTTGAGCTATTATTTTCGCATGAAGTTAATGGAGATATTCAATGAATTTTTCACGAATTATTTTCGTTTTTTCGTATGAAGCATAGCTGCTGCACTAGGTGTTGAGTAAGTCTCCTGAGAAATACGATTGATGTAGTAAAGTGCTACCATGGAGAATAAAAAACATGTGGTCGTGGAGACTCGGTGAACCAGTCCCGAGGCGATCAATGAGACCATTAGAGAGATGAAGACTGAAATGTTGAGTAGATTAAATACTTTTAAAAAATGTATTTACCCTAAAAACTCAAGGCAAACCTTCTGGGAAGAGTTTCATCTGGAAAGCTTTTCCGAAGACTGTGGACTCGAGATTACCAAGTGCTGTGAGGGTCAGTATAAATAACATGGAGCCAATATAGCCCCCAAGGATCGTGTGAAGCTGTGAGGATGCAAGCCACCCTTTGTACATTTGCATTCCAGAGAATAAAATTATTGTGAGGATGAGAGAGAGGACGAAGGAAACTCCACTCGTCACAGCTGAAACAGAAGAATATTAATTGAGTATTTTATCGGAATAATTCAGTGAAAGGCCGGGTGTTGAGGTTAGAACGTCTGACAGGTGTTTTTCATTAAAATCTGTCGAAATTAATCGGAAAGCTTTCTCCAAAGAACGACGAAAGCATCCAATAATTGTTAATTGAAGTATTTACCCATTATTTATTTAGCAATGACAGCTAGTAAATAGGAAGTAAATATAAATTCCAAGTTGACGTTTTTTTTTCGTATTTACCGACCAGAAAAACTGCAACTGATCGATACTCGAACAGTCAAACAACTTCAGACCAGTCAGTTCTGTCGGTTTGAGAGACCCCAGCGGCATTGTAGTACTGCACCCCAGGAGAGGGAAAGCACACCACGCAATACTGGGGTGTCCATCAAGTCGACGGGATGAATTTTATTTTTTGCGATATGAATGCTCTTTGTTTTTTATTTGTTTAACTGAAATTTAGCCG